AGTTCATGAAAGTCGTAAGAGAAATAAATGAATAAGTAAAGAAAAAAGACTTCTGTAAAAATAAATACAGAAAGACTGCATAATTATACTAAAATTATATATTTTGCAAAGAAAAGTTATTTAGTGATATAAATATTGATTTGAGAATGCGAAGTGATAGTAGAACAATAAGAGGAGTACGTTAGCTCATTGCAATAAGGTGTAAAAAGAAAGAGAAAGACACAATTCAGAGGAAGGTGAAGTTGAAAAGGTAAAAGTAATTGAAAATAGGGTAAATGGCTGTACATGTTAACTGGACAGGAAATCAGAGTTCGTTTTAAGTTAGTTAAATTCTTCTCCAACAAGCATGTTGAAGAAAATGCAATTAGGCATAAAGAATTATTAAAAAGTTGGTTAAGCGAAGATTGAATTTATAAATAGAAAAAGAAAAGTGTAGTTAAGGACGTTATTAAGGAAGGATTTAGCAATGCTGGTGGTAAGCAGTTAAACGGGAAGTTACCAGGAATCACAGAGATGCAAGGATTCTTACGGAAACATAGAAATTAAAAGTAAACATAAAAAGGTATCTATTTGGTGCAAGTTAGTTATGTTTTGAAAAGAAAATTGAACTGTTTACGAATAGTAAAAATTTGAAAGGTACTAAAATATACATATATGAAGATTTGGCCACTAATGAAAGAATATTTACAATGTAAAGAGAACTCATAAAAAGGTATAGGTGTAAGCAAAGTAAGTGGACAGTTGGCAAAAATGTTTATCTATGTAACCGAAAAGAAAAGCATTAATTAAAGAGCAGATAAAATATTTAGAACGGTTGCAGTAATGAGATAATAAAGGAGTGTAAAATGGAAGTATTGAGGACTCGAAAATAGTTAATAAACATAGACAAAAAGGATTTGTAGGAATAAGCGATATCAGTATTTCAAGGAGGTGTTAGAAATGAAAGTATATTTTTGCAATTTGATATTATGAAAGAGAAAGGAGACAGAAGAAAGTAGAAAAGGAGCCATCTACATATTAAGTGAAAATAATAGCTAAAGTGCTAAAGTTACTGTACTATTGGGAAAGATATGCGAAATATATCAGCAGCTAGGTTGAAATATTTGGAGGAAAAACATGACGTTGTTTAATACATTAATTAGAAGTACATACTGCGTGTTATGGAGTTGGGAGAATACTAGCAAGTAGAAGGCTTTTACATATAAAGCAGTACATAAAATATGTATTGGAACAGAAGGGAAAGTAAATGAGGGAAATAGTTGTGGAAATAAGAGGAGTGGTTAAGTATAAGGAAAAATAAGAGAGGCTGAGGGATGAGGATTTATTAAGAGTTCTAAAGTTTTATTAATTAATTCTTCTCCTATTTCACTATTTAGTTTTGAAATCTAATTGTGAGCAATAACTCTTGTTAAATATTAAAATTAAAATATTTAATACATAAAATTTTTAAAAAACTCGTAGCGACACTCATACAAAACACTTACAGGTTTTGCTTGGTGATTGCGAAACCACCTGAATTACATAATTATAAGTAAATAAAAAATAGCCTTGATAAAGCCCAACAAATGCGCAGGCAAAAAGGTTTTTGTCAAAGTGTTTTATATAAGTATCGCCACGAGTTTTTTAATTATTTTACTTATTCATTATCTATTTTAATTCTTTGACGTTGTTATAATAAAAAAAATGTTAGTTGGCTATTTAGTGTTCCACTTATACAACGAGTTACACAATTAATTTTTGTTTATCTCTAATCATGTACAGTTTAAATAGCAAAACCATCGGCATTATATATTTATAACTAAAACAATTGCTTTAATAAAGCCCAGCAACCTGGGCGAAACGTCGGTTGCAGTTTTTAAATAAATAATAAGCTTTTAACCCCGTTCCAAACGGAATCAGAAAGGAATTTAACCCCGTTATTGCTTTGATTTCCAAACGAAATCAGAAAGGATGTTCGGAGAAAGAGGAATTAAAAAGTTGGTATAAACACTGATCAAAGTTATAATCGATATTTTTCAGTCTAATAGTCAACTTAGAATATACTAATGTCAAGTACTTTTATTGGTAATTTGTTACATTGTTGTGTATAGGTACCTATTGTAAAGATCATAACGTTGTCCATTGTGTTTTGTAAAATTGAGTTTGTTTTCAACACATTCCCATAATTGTGGTATTTGTGAATCCCACGAGCAAAATATTCTATTATTTTCTCTAATTTCATGCAATTCAAGTTAGATAAACTGATTAAACGGCTTATTCTACTTTTCACAAATTATTATCTCCAACAAATAAATACGACTATTTATCAAAATAAGTAAGTCGTAGATCAAATCACGACAATCGAGAATGAAAAAAAATTAAGGTAAAAAATGTCTCGATAAGTGTGTTCAAACTTCGCAGAAAAAAATTGAAACCTTATTTTTAATTAATTCGTTTAGTCATGGGTTGGGTTTTAAAAATATTATGTATAAACTTACTCATAGCTTGATGTTTCTAAAAAACACCTTGACAATATTACTGTACCATGAAAACAAGGTAAGGTTTATTTCAAATTAAATATTTTAATTTAATCCGACTATACCCAACCGAATGAGGTGTATACCGGAATGAAAGTGGTTGTGTCCATTTTCAATTTATTTTTCGTTTGTGTTTATAACAGATCCATAAAGCACATAGATGCTTATAAAAAAATAAAACTGAAAACCTAATTTTTCACATTAAGGAAAAATACGGTTAAACCTAGGCAACTACACGCTCCGCGTGGACTACCGCTCCACGTGCCGTGCAGCAGCTCTTAAAAGCGGCTTGAAGATGTTTTCATTATCATTTCTGTGAAGGTCTTTAAACCAATTAATTTGTCATTACTTCAACATTCCCATTGTTTATACTAAAGTATGAAAAACAGATATGATCTAAATATTTATCTCTACATTTCACCTAGTATAAATACCTGCAAATTTCTCAACAGTTGATTATAGTTTTACAATTGCCTACATACACGTAACCATGAATGCGTTAAAAACAGTGATCCTTTTCACTGCTTTGCTTCAAAGCTTAATTGAAGCTGTAATTGTTTATAATGGTAGCTCTACAGCCAAGGATGATTGGTGGAAATATGCAACATTCTATCAGGTTTATCCTCGATCCTTCAAAGACAGCGATGGCGATGGGTTGGGTGACATAAAAGGTATTACTAGTCAATTGCAATATCTGGTAGATGCAGGGGTCAATGCTGCATGGTTTTCGCCAATTTTCATATCTCCTGGGATCGATGCTGGTTATGATATTAGCGATTTTCGAGATATTGATCCAAATTTCGGAACTATGAGCGATTTTGATGAGCTTCTTGACCAAGCCCATCAACTTGGCCTAAAAATTATTTTGGACTTTGTTCCAAATCATACCAGCGATCAACACGCTTGGTTCCAGTTGTCCAAAAATAGAACTGCGGGATACGAGGACTATTACGTTTGGATGGACGGCGCCAATTCAACAACACCGCCTAACAACTGGGTAAGCATAATATTCCCAATTTATTATGAGGTTTTTTTTTGTTTCTTTTATAATAAATACTTAGGGATGTACGAACATTCGAAATACATATACTTTTGTACATTTTAAACGAATATTGGAACACCGTTTCGCCATATGAACTATAAGCATCATGTTAAAAATCAATTTTTGCACAACTGAGAATCCTTTGAATAACATTCACCGTAAATGATATATATATATATATATGTGTAGCAAATATTGTTGGATAGGTCCATATGATTATTGTAAAAACATATTTGCGAGTAGTCCTCTATACTAATTGATTATTTAGAGTAGAAATTTGTATGTAAAGTTCCCGTTGATCCACAATCTTGACATTTTGTGTACAGGAAGGTCTTATAGGCCGCATATAATATAAGAGTCAAAGATATATCGATCTTGTCTTGTTTTAATGACCAAGAGGTTATATGAAGATTGGAAAAACTTTGGCGGTTGTTGTAGAACAAACAGAATAGCTCAAAACCCCAACGCCAAGACACGACACTGTAGTTGTCCGAAGCACTTTTCGGTAACAAAGTTACTGTTTACTTCAGTTCCTGAAGAAGGTAACTTTGTTACCGAAAAGTGCTTCGGACAACTACAGTGTTGTGTTTTGGCGTTGGGGTTTTGAGCTACTCTGTTTATTCTACCAAGAGGTTATCAAAAACATGATGCTATAACAGATATCGTAATTAATTCATACGCTCACTATTAATTTTATTTAAGCAAAAGTACGATAAGCATATGATAATTGCTCCAAAAAAGGTATCGGATCGAAATTATTAGGATATATTGTCTATACCTATTATAAAGTTACTAAAACACTGAATGCATACCCAATCTCAACCTCCTATCGAAAAATAAAAAGAAAAAGATTTTTTTTCTTCTGATTGGATAAACTAATTGTGATAAAAAATATTATATGTATACTTTAGAGGCCTAAATATGTTACGATTTTATTATTATTTTCTTTCATTGCTGATTTTCAAGTACTCTTTATTGTCTTAAAAATCTAAGATCCACTAACAAGATATAATTCGTAATTACGTGAAGGCATTAGGATCATCGACGAATATTCGCATGTTACCAGCGTCATTTCCATTTGTATAATATGGGCCCTTCATGTGCACAGCTCGTGAAAGGTAGCTCAATGACAATTTTTTTCTATTCACTGATTAATTAACTTTCTGTAAACTGAAATAACAAAACTAAAATTGCGACAAAAAAGTTAATAAGTGCTTAATGAAAATTATTAATATTTTTGCATTGAATGCGGAAAATAAAAAATATCCATTGCTGATTAAAAGTGATATATTTACAGATAAGTAATAAGAAAATATAACAAACAGAAATTAAATAAGAAATAAATATTTTTTCGTCGAAAACTGTTATGACTTTTTACTAAGAAACGAAAATTTTAGATAAGAAAAGTACCTTTTCAGAGAAAAATTAATTAATAAAAAAATTAATAGGTTCTAAAAATAAACCACTAACAAATTTGTCTGACTAAGTTACGGGAGGTGGTAGACGGAGACTTGGGTTTGATTCCCAGGGAGTAGCCTGTGGCCGCAGCAACATTTTTTCCCCATTAATTTGAAGTAATCTGTAGTGGGTGAAAGTTGAATCAAATTGATATTAATGTTTGAAAATTAGTAAATGTTAACCGCCATTATCAGTTTCCTAATGTGCTGCATATTATATATAGTTATTTATTTTTATACAAATTTTAATCTAATCATGTACAGTTTAAATAGCAAAACCATCGGCATTATATATTTATAACTAAAACAATTGCTTTAATAAAGCCCAGCAACCTGGGCGAAACGTCGNGTTAACCGCCATTATCAGTTTCCTAATGTGCTGCATATTATATATAGTTATTTATTTTTACACAAATTTTAATTACACTATCATGACTTTTCTTTGACGTAAAGTTAAGATTTTGCCTCGACAAGATAAGTTTTTTCGACATGTTCATCACTAATCAATTATGACTAACGTTAGAGCTTTCAAGAATTTTTAATTATCAACCAATTACCCATCACATGTTCAGTTAGAATCAAAAATTGCTCAACCTGAAAAACGAAGCGTTGTTGAATTATTTCCAATAAAAAATAAAGTAATCTGCCATTTCAAATTTCACAATAACTTTTAATTAGATTGATTGGTATCAGAAGATTACTCACGAACTAATTAATAAAGCTCCATTGTTAAATATATAAAAAATTTATCAATTAATGAATTATAAAAAAAAAACAAGTATTGAATGTCATCAACTTATGTGTGATGTCAATAACAGAAGATATTGGTGATATTATCCTAAAAGTCGATGGTGAGTATTTTGTTGACCTTCAGTTTTATTAAAATTTAGTATGAAATTCGAAATCACCCATTGCATATTTCCTTTTTTAATTGCTTAAACTGTATTACAAATTGTTTCAAAACAAGGAATGGTTTTCTATCAATTGAGTTTTTCTTTAAAAATATTTGCGTCAACAGTTAATGTAAAAGATGTTAGAATAGAATTTAATGTAGTATGAGTTAAAAATATTTTCTTCTGCAAATATCAAAATGCTCTCAACAAAGGGCGGTTTTGTTTGTGAAAATAATAATTGATGATTCTTATGCTGAATGTCGAATGTATCAGTTATATATTCGATTAGACAATCAATTAATTAGCAAGAATCAAGTAACTCATCATTAAATTTTTATTTTCATAAAGAGGGGTATGTTCGGAAGTTCTGCCTGGACTTTTGTGCCTGAGAGGGGTCAATATTATTACCATCTGTTTACTGCCCAACAACCTGAATTAAACTTCAGAAACCCTAGGGTTGTCCAAGAAATGAAAGTAAGTTATAACTGCTTCTTTTTTCTATATCCAAATAATTATTTAAAATTATTTGTTTTTTTTTTTCAAAAGGACATACTGACCTTTTGGTTAGATAAGGGCATAGATGGGTTCAGAGCTGACGCAGTACCATATATATTCGAAACATTTCCAACAGATCCTGGCACTCCTGAAACCTACAACCCTAATGCTCAACGTAGTGCAATTCAGGATCAACCGGAATCGTTGGATATGGTTTATCAGTGGAGAGCAGTTCTTGACGATTACAACCGACGGAATGGAGGAAACACCAGGTAACAGACACTTAAATCTTGTAAATCTAGCAAAATTGCATCCTTTTTTAATGCACTAGAGCATAAATGATTCAAGAAACACAAAGATATATTCTTGGTTATATCAATTTACTAAATAATTCTTAATTAAATTAATCATTGCTATCAACAGCATGTTCATAGAAAAGAAGCAATTCTAATTTATCTGACCACTGATACATTCCTTAAAAATTAAAAGAAAACTCACCCCTAATTACCACAAATAATTTATTTGAGCGGACACGTGTTTCGCCCACTTCATACGTGGGCAATATCAATGCGACACTGTCCGCTCAAATAAATTATTTGTGGTAATTAGGGGTGAGTATTCTTTTTAATTTTTAATTAATATTTACCACAGTCTCCTCCTTCTAATTTTAACTGATACATTCCATTTACAATAAAATTATGTAATTGAAAAACTCTGTTTCGATAGGGTGTTTATCACAGAAGGATATACAAATATAACCGCCACTATGCCATATTATGGTAATGACACAGTTGATGGGGCTCATTTTACTTTCAATTTCTTTCTTATAACCAATACTACATCCAACAGTACGGCTAGTGAGGTCGTAAGGGTAATAACGGCATGGTTTCAAAATATGCCAAGCAGATATGTAGCTAATTGGGTGGTAAGAACTATTATCGAGTTATTTTATTCAAGCCTTATGCTTGGTTTTTTGGATCTTACATTTAATTTAATAATTAAAAACTAAAATCCAAGATTTCAGATAAAAAAGACTAGAAAAGACAATATGCGTTTCGACACTCAGTGAAGAAACACATTGTAGGATTTTTAATCGCTTTTGTGCAATTTTGGATTTTAATGTTTTATTTAGTTAGTTTCACAGAAATCCATTTGATTTTATTGTTTTTCCATCTAAGGTTGAGAATCAAAAAACCAGTCATTTATTTGCTTCTTCATTGTTTATCCCATATGGTGCTATCTGCATATTGGTTTTTTGCGTTTTAGTTGGGAAATCACGATAGGCCTAGGGTTGCCACTCGTCTTGGAGTTGAAAATGTGGATGGATACAATATGTTGATAAGTCTTCTGCCAGGTGTAGTAAACAGTTATTACGGAGAAGAAATTGGAATGGAAAATGGAGTAGTAACATGGGAACAAGGACAAGATCCAAGAGCATGTGGCGGACCCAGAGAAAATTTCTTGACCGAAGGAAGAGATTTTGAGAGGACTCCATTCCATTGGAACTCTAGTGTTAATGCAGGATTTAGCACAGCGAATAGTACTTGGTTGCCTGTCAGTGCAAAATATATAACAAACAATCTTGAACTACAAAGCAGAGACGGAGTAAAAAGTCACTTTCATGTCTACCAAGGTCTAATGAAATTGAGGCAAGAAGACACTATCATTTTTGGAAATTTGAACATAGAGGCTTTAGACACTTACGTTTTTGCATTTACGAGAGAATTGGCTGGTAACGACACATATGTCTTTTTATTTAACAAGGGAAATTATTCTTCAACAGTGTCACTATCTTCGTTTACGTCTCTCTCTAATGACATTAGAGTAGTTTTATCCAGTACCGACTCTTTCAGAAACGAAGGGTAAGATGTGTAAAATTAAATAGTTTATTTGATTAATTGTTGATAATGATATAATGCTTACATTGGTTTACAAAATACGTATACCGATCAAAAACATTGTCGTATTTAAGCAATTGTAAACAATATTATTCATTTTCTTTTAATTTGTATGATGTTTACTGGATCTATTATCGTTTTATTATTTTTTCAGAGATTTTCTGCCGAAAAGTCGCATATACCTGGATGCCCACGAAGCAATAGTAGCAAAATCACGACCAAATAATTTAATACACTGTTAAAAATAATTGTAAATTTACCTACTGGTTTTGAACAAAATAATAACTTTGGCTATTATTGGATGATATTTTCCATATAAATTCTAAAAAGTTTGCGATTTTATAGCATTAGTCAAGTATAAATAGTAATTTTACAAATTCACCATTATTGGCAATTCACCAGACCGCATCATTTGTAGTTGTTACTAAACAATTATTTACAAACATTACAAAAATGTTTTGTAATAATCATTAAATACTTTGGGAATAGGTTGTAATACAATATTGATGTTGTTATAGTGCAATGCGACTGATTTGGTTTTGTAAAATTACCGCAAACTTTTTACAGTTTTACAGGAGCATTTATATTTTTCTGTTAATAACAATGTAACATTGATTTTCCTAATTAAATTACTGTTATATTACTCCATTAAATTTGTTATATGTGATATAATTTATGAAAAATATATAGCAATACGCTTTAGTTTCCATTTCTTCGTTTGTTTTGTAGTCAAAGGTATACAATAGACTGGGGTAATCCCAAAAATACGGTCAGCAAATCGCTGGAGTGATGGGGTAAGTTTTAGAGCAGCAGTGTTTGTAGTTTACCCCGCTCTAAACGAGTCATCACTTGACCTATTGGGAAAAGTTCGAAAAGTTATTCGTTTTTTGAACATAAAACCTGACTTTGAGAGTTAGTGGCTAATGTCGAGGCTATCTTGTCCTTCTGTCGGGCTTTCCATTAAATAACACTGACCAACGTGAAATCTGGATTGAAATTAATTTAAACAATTAACCGATCAATATTGCTTTCCCGTTAACGAATTTTCAACGAGTCGATTGAAACCATTGGAACGAATTACATATAATGCTTAAACATTAAAACTCGTTAAAAAAGGCATTACCGAATGCGATCAACAGGAAACACAGCATTCTGGATGCATGTATACAAAACTAGCTTTATTTGTAGGCTAATAAATATACAAATCTTATGGGAAAATTGTAACGCTCGCGGGTTTACCACGAGAAACAACGTACAATAAGGGTTTGGTAATTCATTGAGCAGACGAATGTACTGCACGCCAGCACAACGTGATAATATGATTATTTTACCTTATTGAACGATGTTCAACAATAGTCAATGGGTCAGTGGTATGAATTTTGATTTGCAATACAGGTAGGTTCAGGATACTTTTATGTTTGATGTCATATCTCTTTTCTGTTCTTAATTTATGTTTATTAATTTTTTTACTAATTTTCATTTGAATGTTGAATAAATTAAACCGAGAATGCTTTTGTTTGTTTCGGATTATGTCTTTTACTTGCGTTGTGCTGGCGTGCAGTATATTTAATAGTTGGTATAGCGTATAGTTTCAAATTTTACGATGACGTATGATCTTAAGAATCAATTGTGCCTAATGGCCCTATTAGAAAGCCAGTGGAGCGGAAAGCATACAATCAACGGTAAGAACTGTCCGAGAAAAATAAAATATATGTAATCATATGGAGCACCGTACATTCATGCGGACGTAACGACTGGCACTTTTAAAATCCACCCAAATACCAGAATCATAATTAAAATCCGTTCGCTTTGCATACCGTGCGTGCCGATGTCGATGAATTTACTACACCTGTTGGAATTTACCGGTAGGTTTTACACATATTACACATATTACCGTGGATCTGCACTCCTAATCTACTCCGAAAATATTTACACAAGGTCGAATAACTTATTCATTTTCCATATAAACATCCCTACAAAGGGTTTTGTAAAATTGTGTTGTAATGCTTGTAAAAAGTCTAAACGATATAGGTATAATATACATGAAAATCTTTTGTATGTACATTTTTTTACATTAAAATTAGAATACCATCTTCAATTCATTTATTTACCTATATTGTTTCTTAAAATTACATTACACTAACATGTGATCATTTTAAAATGCATGACAAAGACTTGTATGAGGTGCATTTCTTTATAACATTTACCGACGATTCGTAACGCGTGAGCATGCTCCTTCACGCTACAGACGACGCCTAAGTCCTTACACCAAGCGTGATCGCTGATGGCCAATCCACGCGCTCGTGACCGCAGTGAAAAGGAGCCAAAGAACGCACAAGGACAGTTCCCGCTGCAAATCGTGCCGAACCCGTTACACGGAACGTGGATCCACGCGCAGGGGCTTAAAGCGAGGCGACTTGAAGTTGTTTTCATTATCATTTCTGTGAAGGTCTTTAAACCAAGTACTTCAACATTTCTATTGTTTATGCTAAAGTATGAAAGAGAGATATGATCTAAATATTTATCTCTACATTTCATCTAATATAAATACCTGCAAATTTCTAAAAAATTGATTTAGTTTTACAACTGATTACCTACACGTAACAATGATTGCATTAAAAACAGTGATCCTACTTACTACTTTATTTCAAAGCTTAATTGAAGCTGAAATTATTTATAATGGTAGTTCTATACCCAACGACGATTGGTGGAAATATGCAACATATTATCAGATTTATCCTCGATCCTTCAAAGATAGTGATGGCGATGGGGTGGGTGATTTGAAAGGTATTACCAGTCAATTACAACATCTGGTAGATGCTGGAGTAACGGCTTCATGGTTTTCGCCAATTTTCAAATCTCCTGGGATCGACGGCGGTTATGATATTAGTGATTTTAGAGATATTGATCCTAGTTACGGAACCATGAGCGATTTTGAGCAGCTTCTTGACACAGCCCATCAACTTGGCCTAAAAATTATTTTGGATTTTGTTCCGAACCATACCAGCGATCAACACGCTTGGTTCCAATTGTCCAAAAATAGAACTGCGGGGTACGAAGACTATTACGTTTGGATGGACGGCCTTAATTCAACAACACCTCCTAACAACTGGGTAAGCATAATATTCCCAATTTATTATGAGGTTTTTTTTTGTTTCTTTTATAATTTTATAAATAGGCAGTACCTATTTATTTAATAATACTTAAGTATATACAAACATTCAAAAAAACATACATATACGAAGGAATATTGAAACATCTTTTCACCATATGCACTATGCGTAATATACTTAAAATAAATTTTTACACAAAAAAGAATCCTTTTATGGCATTTATCGTAAATTGGTTTTCCAAATATGGATAACAAAAACTATTGGAATAGATTCTTATGATTATTGTAAAAACATATTGGCGAGTATTGCTTTCTATATTATTATTCGGGTCTCACATCTGAGGTAAGAATCAAATATATATATCGATATTGTCTTGCTTTAAAAACTAAGAGATTATCAAAAACAGGATGCTCATATAAGACCTTTAGGCAAGATGGACAAATCGAGATCTATAACAGATATCGTAATTAATTATACGCCCATTATTAGTTTTATTTAAGCAAAGGGCATAGGAGGCTAAGCATATCATAATTGCCCCCAAAAAGTATTGGATCGAATTTTTCAGGATATGTTGGTATCAATTGTGATACTTATTTCCTTTCACTGCTGGTTTTCAAGTGCTTTTTATTGTCTCGAAATGCACAATCCAGCAAAAAATGTTCCAGGTATCATTAAATTACGTAAAAGCTATTAGGATCATCGACGGCTTTTTGTATAGCACCAGGATTATATTTATATCCATATTGGTCCGTCGTGCTAATAGCATACATAACCATTTACGGTAAATATCATTAAATGTTTGCACACAATTTTTTTTTCTATCAATAAAAATATCAATAATAAAGTAGATAAGCCCTTCATAAATATTATTAATATTTTTACATTGAATGCCGAACATAAAAAAAATCCAATGTTGATTAGAAGTGATTAATTACATTCTGCATAAATGATAATAAAAAGATTACGAATAGAAATTGTCATTATTGAAATAAATCTTAATAAACGAATAAAGAGGTTTTAGTTTTTTTTAAGATGATAAGTCTTTGAAGGATCAGAATTTATACGCCATTTCGAAATTCATTAACCTTGAAAAAAGTGTTATTTCATGGTGGTTATATCTATCCGAAAAGCATAAAAATGAGTAAAATACTTTTTTTGTAAGGTATACATAAATGATAAATACTGCCCTGCTTTTACAATCCGAGATAGACATAGGTAGTACAAATTCTTAGCAAGCGATCTTGACAGGATAACCTTCCCGATTTGTTCATCTAGATCTAGATATTAGGCTGTATTTATAAAAATAAATAATTTAATTTCAAGTAAAAGGTAGAAGTAAAATCTTTTGCTACAATTCGTATATATAATCTATATCTTTTCCTTGTAAGGAAATGCTTCGGATTAATAAAGTAAAAGGTACAAATTAGCCGCTACCGATTTCGACAAACTAGTTAAAATTTGTTTAATATATTCCTGATTTACTTGTGCAGTGTTGAAAGTTAGCAAATTTAAAGCGGTTCGCAAAATAACCCAGAAATATTTTCATTTTCTGCACAGGTGACACGGCTGTTCCACGTGTTTCGGGATAGGCGCCAAGGAAGTGGTCCGTCAACCACACGACATCTTCCTACTCAAATCTAAATAACGCTTTAAAATCTGATTCTCGTGGTGTACGTCTTTGTTTGTAGTATTTTCTTGTACATAAATGCACCATATAAGCCATAACAAGCACAACACTGGGACCACACAACTAAAGATCACCTATACAAATAGATTTTAACACAAAACAGTCCTACAAATACATAACTTTTTAAGTTACAAGCTGTGTGATGCCTGGGTAGCAACTGCAAATTTGAAAAGAGCGAGAAAAACTGTTTTTCGAGAAACAAATCCTTTATTTTTTGAGCAGATGCTTCTTTTTATCATCATCATCATCATCATCATCATCATAAGGTCGTCAGTCCTAAGACTGGTTGGACATGCACCTTCACTCTTTCCTATCCTGAGCTAAACTTCGCATTTCCCTAAAACTAGAACAGCCCACATCCTTAACTATTTGCTAACAGTTATCTAATCTAGGTCTACCTCTACCCCTCCTAACT